CTGCCCGGCCTGCGCGGAACGAGGCGGCGGGCTAGCGAAAGGCGAGGCCGCAAAAATAAAGCTGGGTTTTTGGCCCCCCCGCTTTTGCGGGGCAGCGGCCCGGGCAGGCGCGAAGAAGGACGGATGCGCTTGAACGCGGCGCGTCCCGTGGCCTCCCACGCTATGAGGAGGCGCATGAAAGGGAGGCGAACGTCGGATGCTCCAGACTTACCTTTGGCAGCTCTGGAGGGAGGGGAGGAAACGCAGGTGGGTTGGCTGGTTTGCAGTGGGCAAGCAGGGCAGCTCCAGGTTCTGATGGGCAACCTTTTCCTGGTGAAGTGCCCACTTCAGTTTGGATCACGGCTTTCACTTCATAAAGCTGAGAGAGACCGAATGGTTCTTCTCCTTCCTAAAAGGGGCCCGCCCGCAGGATGCAAGCGCCTCAGGAGCCGCGGCTGAACTCAGCGGGCAGAAGCAGGCCCCGGCTGCCCACCCTGGAGACAACTCTGGCCTTCCGAACCCAGAACACTCTCCAGGGCTGCCTCAGTCGGCAGGTTGGTCTCTCAGGAGGGGAGGAAAGGGCAGAAGAAACTTGTGCCTCCTCTGCAGCCAGTGTAAGGCCCTGGCCTCCCGTCCAGAACCAGAAGCCCCCAGGCTGAGGAGGGAGACCCTGGCTGACTAGCTCCCAGGCTCCCAGAGGGGCCGGGCCTGGATTAAAGGGGCAAATTTGAGGTGACCCCCACCAGTCCCCCCCTTGGGCGGCCATGGATTACCCACTGCAGGCACCTATGGGGCAGCTAGGAAGGGGGCAGCCCACCCTCCAATTCCAGCAGAAGCAAAGAGGGCTGGCTTCAGATGACATTTCCTCCGGAATTTGGTTGACCAAGAACACCAGGGGAGTATCAAGCAACTCAGCTGAAAACTGGTTGAGAAAAGAGAGTCCTAAAGTTCAGCTTTAGTGATGTGGACCTGGGTGGAAAGGGCAAGAGTCATGATGGTGAGGTTGTTCAGTCTTCAGATCAGACATGGGCCCTCTGCTGCTTCCAAGATGATGTGGTGTAGGAGCCAGGGAGCAGAGCAATGGTCCCTTCCCATCGCACAAGGACACCCCCGGCTGCTGCGGCCTGTGGCATTCACCTGCCTTCTGCACTTTGTAAGGGGCCTAGGTGTAGCCATCCAACCCCCAGCTCCACTGCAAGGTTTGTCTGGGGGAGGTCTCCCTTGGCCACCTGAACGAGGGAGAGATTGCCTGAGGTCACCGCGCCAACACTGTTGTCACGTCCCACAACAAAGAAGAGGACAGTGTTTGGCAGAACGATGCTATCCGTAGGTGGAGCTGGTTGAACAATCGTACCCAGAGGACATCTATCCGTCGTTCCAGAGCGAGCTGGAAGGAAAGTTGGAATGGGAAACTACAGGGCTCTGAGCTGCTCAATGCATTTTTCAATGTTTTTGTTGAGGTACCAGCAAATATGATTACCAACTGAGGGGTATCAAGATTCAGGAGGTCGGCAGTGGGCCAAAGCCAGCAAGGTGAATGTTAAAAGAGATAAAGGTAAAGCCCGACATTTGAGTAGGACGAATCCAAGGCGTGAGCGTAGGCTGGTGGCAGGAACCGCACCGGGCAGCAGCATGTGTGTGTTGGCGGATCACAGGTTGAACAGCTTGATGCAGCTGCAAAAGAGAAGCAAAAAAAGGCCAGTCCTTTGCTGCACAACCCAAGTCAAGTGGCGAGATCAAGATAGGTTGCTGTTCCTCTTTGTTCTTCGTTGGTCAGGCCACAGCTGGAATGTTGTGGCCACTTCTGGGCACTGCATCTTGGGAAGGATGGTAGCAAACCGGACTGCGTCTGGGAGGGAGCCTGTGGGGGCAACCTGCTCACTTTCTTCCCAGGCTGCACTTGGTGCCCCTCTTCCTCCTCCACGCCTGGGACCCTTTTCAAACCGGTGAGAGTTGGCTTTTTGGCTGGTGGGGGGCCGGGTGGCTATGGGGATAAGCCACACCAGTTTTTCCTGACCCGGATTCTCCACAGTCAGTCTGAATTTCTCTCAGGATCTGCACTTAGGGTGTCTGGCAGTGGCTCAGCTCACTTGAGGGCATGATTTCCTGGGATGGGGATTCCATGGTGGTCCTGCTCGTTAGCCAACCCACAGGTGGCTCCCTCGAGCCTTGGGGAAGCTCCAGCAGCTCAAGAAAGCGTGGGGAGGGTGGGGAGCTGCACAGAGGACCAGACCAAGGATAATGGCAGGACTGGTTGGGGTAGGTGGGCAGCAGAATTGCGGAGAGGGTACCTTCTCCTCCTGGTCTCTTCTGGCTTGTCACCCAGGACATGACAGGCATCCCAGTGGTTTGGGGCACCCCTTTCAAAGGGAGCAGCCCCATGGCCCATGCCTGAGAACAAGGCTGTTCTGAGAATCTCGGACCTTAGGGGCTGCTCCACCACACTTGCTTGGAGTTTCACCATTCCTGCCCAGTTAGTTCAGATTCAGCCTTGTGAGGAAACAAGGGGCCTGAATGACACCCAAGGCCTTCCACAGGGACAGCCAGCCTGGAAGCAGCATTTCCCACTTTAGCGGTGGATTTTCTCCACCTCTGAAGGTCCCGTGTGAAGCCCAGAAACCGCGGCTACCCCCCTCCCCACTCACATCCCTTTTAGAGCCATTTAGTGAATCCTTCATCATCTTCACTGGACAATTCCCTCACAAGGTCCCCCCGCTGCCATTACAGCAGCTTTCCTTTCCTCCAAAAAGCTGCTGGGTCGAAGCATTAGATCCCCGGGGAGAGGACTCATTGTCCGCATCATGGCCGTTCTTCTGGAGGGGCTGGCCATAACCTCCGTTTTCTGAGATCCCTACACCTGCCCCATGGACCCAGCCTTCCTCCAATGGGGAGGGCATTTCTCTGCCCACAGACTGCTATTGGGAGGAGGGGCTCATTCCCCATTTTTCCTAGTCCTCTGTTAACTTCCTGCACGGGTGAAAGATCTCCGCAACCCATTTCCTGGGGGCGCTGCTCCCTTGCCACTCAATTGGGTGTGCCAGACTTCAGCTCCGGCGGCGGGGGGGCATCCACCAACCTCCCTTCTCTGGGCCACAGATTCAGAATTAGAGGTTTCTTGCTGAGAAAACGGCCATCTCTTCTCTTTGACCCTCAGAGGGAACTTTGAAGTTCTTCTTTAAGCTGGCAGAAGTAAAAGCAAAAAAGATTTAAGAGGGAATTGGTGAGCTGGTTTTCTTTTATTTTAAATACCGGGGGGATCTGGGAGCAGAGGTGTTGCATGCTCGTGGAAGCTGAATGCAGCCCCTACAACCCAGCCACCCTCTACTTTTCTGCAAAGCCTAAACGCCCACCTTCTCCACCCTGAGGACATTCAGGGGAGAACCTTTCAAAGACCGCTCCTTGCCTTTGGAGACCTTGGGAAGGTTCTTATTTCAGAACGGACTTGGAAACTGAACTTCTGGCATCTGCAGAGGAGTGGTTTTCTCACACAGGATTACCTTTGTACAAATAAAAAATAAAACA